TCTAGGGGTGGCAGAAGGGCATCAGATAAATATGCCCTTAAGATCTATTTTTTTTAAAATGGACCTTGTCTACAAGTCTCTGCTATTTTATTTATTCTTGTGTGAATATGGGTGTGCAGGCTTATTTTTGCCAAGGTATGCTCTTGGAGGTCAGAGGACAGCTTTTGGAGGTAGTTCTCTCCATCCACTGTAGGGTCTGGGAATCAAACTTGTCAGGCTTACACAGCAAGTTCTTTTGCCTGCTGAGCCAACTCACCAGCCCACTCTGATTTTTAAAATGCAGTTGCACATCTGCATAATTATTTTGGGTGATTCTTAGAAAACAAATTCAAGAAATGACCACTGTGTTGCCGTCAGTCTTGTCTGGTGTGGAATGGCTGAGTAAAAAGGCCTGGTGCAGTCGACCCTTGATGTGTTTTTTCTCAGACTGTCTGAGAAAGTAAACCAGAAGTTGGCTCGGATCTGTGGCCTCTGCTAAAGAGAAGCCGCAGTTAGGCAGCACAGGGCAAACAAAAGCCTGCACTTCACTGCATGCTCTTACTGTCTAGATTTTTGGTCACGTATATGTTTTAACACTTTTAATTACCTTATAACTATTTTATAGTTGTAATTAAAACTCTTATAATGTATAATTATACATGCTCCACACATGGTTATATATAAATTATATTATTTTTAATAGTGTCCCTGATTTAGAAAGGTGTGATGACAAATTCCTGACTGTCTTCATCCATATTTCTCAAATGCTAGTTTACAAAAAAATTGTTAATTTTTATTATGTATATATGAGTGTTATGCCTGCATGGTAAATACACCACACATGCCAATGCCCACAGAGCCCAGAAGACAGTATTGGAAGAGGGTGTTGGATCCCCTGGAACTAGAGTCACCAGTGTGGAACCAAATCTGGGTCCTTTGCAAGAGCAGCAAGTACTCTTAATCACCAGGGCATCTCTCCAGCTCCTTAATACTAGCATTAAAAATTTTATTGCTGTTGTTGTTTTCATTTTTTTTTTTTTTTGAGACAGAGTTTCTCTGTGTAACAACCCTGGCTGTCCTGAAACAGGATTTGTAGACCAGGATGAAAGAGATCTTCCTGTCTCTGCCTCCCAGGTGCTAGGATTAAAGGAATGTACTACCATAAGCATTTGTTGTTTTTTTTTAAAGAATTTTTTTGAATATTTATTATGAATTCAGTGTTCTGTCTGCATGTATACCTGCAGGCCAGAAGAGGGTGCCAGATCTCATTACTAATGGTTGTGAGTCACCATGTGGTTTCTGGAAATTGAACTCAGGTCCTCTGGAAGAACAGCCAGTGCTCTTAACTACTGAGCCATCTCTCCAGCCCACCGCTCTGTGCCTAGAATAATGTACCCAACACTATATTATATATAGTGTTGAGAGAGAGAGACAGAGATGTAGAGAGAGAGACAGAGAGAGAGAGAGAGAGAGAGAGAGAGACTGGTGAGAAGGCTCAACAGGTTCAGGCCATCTGCTGCTAAGTTGAAGGACCTGAGTTTGATCCTGGGAACCCACAGAACAGAAGAGAACAGACTCTCACAAGCTGTCTTTTGAGCATAAAGCTCAAGCCATGGTACTTAGACATACACACAAAAACACACACAAATAAATGAAACATAATGAGAAACTTTATTTTTGCCAGGCATTGGTGCCTACGCCTTTAATCCCAGCAATTGGGAGGCAGAGGCAGGTGGATCTCTGTGAGTTCGAGACCAGCCTGGTCTACAGAGCGAGTTCCAGGACAGCCTCCAAAACAATACAGAGAAACCCTGTCTCAACCAAAAAAAAAATTATTTTTTATTTATGTGTATATGCATGTATCTATGTGTATCTATGTGTGACTGGGTGCCTGCAGGGGCTAGAAGAGGCTGTCAGAGTCCCTTGAGCTGGATTTACAGGCAATTATAGTGCTGGGAACTGAATTCAGGTCCTCTGGAAGATCAAATGAATTTAACTACTGAGCTATTTCTCCAGCCCCCCCCAAAAATGTAAGGAATGTATACAGCCATCTCTTGAATTTGATAATCCTTAGACAAGAAGGTCTTGTTTAAACCACAGCATTATTTTCTAAGAATCACCCAAAATAATTATGCAGATGTATAACTGCATTTTTAAAATATAATACAAAGAATGTATATTTTAAATGTATATTTTAAAGAATATAGGTACACCTTTAATCCCAGTACTCAGAGGGAGAGGCGGGTGGTTTACAAAGTGAGTTCCAGGACAGCCAGGATTACACAGTGAGTCTCTGTCTCAAAACAGAAATAACACACACATACACACACACACACACACAGTTATCATGGCTGTTGTTTTAAGAGTGGGTTCCAGCAGAGTTAGTAGGGCCAGAAACTGTTACTCCCATTTTCCTAGAAACTCAGGGAGGTTGAAGAGCTGCCCTCCGGCGAGTTGGCAGTGGCAGAGGTGGGCCAAACACAAGTCCTGGACCATTCATCGCGGTTCCTATGTAGATGGTGATTTAAATCACACCCAATCCAGTTTTAAGGGACTAACCTAACGGAGTAGGACTAAATTCACCCCAGTTGAATTGGATTTCTCCATTAAAGTCACTTCTCTTTTCCAAATTTCACCTTCTCTCTGGCTGAATGCTTTTGGATTTCTGAAAATTCAGAATAAACCTTGGCTTAAAAGGAGAGTTGTGAACAGGCTACTGTGGCATTTCAGGTCTGTTCCTGGAAGGTTTCTGGCTTCCTCCTGTCAGTAGAGCGCCAGAAGCAATTTATAAGCATAGTTCCTCCTGAGAAAAAGTTTCTGTTGGGGAAGACAAAAGGGGAACTAGAAAATTACCATCCTTTCTATCTTCCACCAGGGGGCACCGTTTAACCACATTTTCTCTCTAGGTTTGTTTTCCTATTCTGTGACAGTCATTATAGATGAATTAAATTTGTAGGCAAATACTCAGAGGCAAAAAGAAGAAACATTGAAATTATTCTTTTCCTCAAGCTACTAATTCAGATTTTCTATATTCCAGCCACTGTCATGTTACAATGTATGGTCTTCCAGACATTTTCTTAACGTATGTACGTTCATAAAAGTAACTTCGTGGCCAGGCGTTGGTGGCACACGCCTTTAATCCCAGCACTTGGGAGGCAGAGGCAGGCTGATCTCTGTGAGTTCGAGGCCAGCCTGGTCTCCAGAGCAAGTGCCAGGATAGGCTCCAAAGCTACACAGAGAAACCCTGTCTTAAAAAACCAAAAAAAAAAAAAAGAAAGAAAGCTTCATTTGCTTAGTGAAGGGTAACATATTATAGAGAGGACCAGCAGGCTGGCCTCAAGTTCACTATCTCTGCTTTGAGTGCTGGGATTAAAGATGTGTGCCACAACTCCAGGCTGTATTTCTTCTTCTTCTTCTTCTTCTTCTTCTTCTTCTTCGTCGTCGTCGTCGTCGTCGTCGTCGTCGTCGTCGTCGTCGTCGTCGTCGTCGTCGTCGTCGTCGTCGTCGTCGTCGTCGTCGTCATCATCATTCCTTCTTTCTTCTTCTTCTTCCTTCTTCCTCCTCCTCCTCCTTTTTTTTTTTTTTTTTTGAGAAAGGGCCACACTAAGAATGGCCTCAAATTCATGATCCTCCTGGCTCAAACTCCCAAGTGCTGAGATTACAGGTGTGTACCATTATGCTTAGTTTTATCAAACAAATATTAAGTGAGTAGCTTGATGAATTTTCTCAGTTGAAGGGCTCTGTCACTCAAGGAGGACCTTGAGGACTAGTACCATGCCCTCAGAGGGCCTCTTAACTTCCTACAGTCACTGGCTTCTTCAGAGAGCCATTGTTCTGGCTTCTAAGGTGAGAAGTAATTTCATCTGTTTGGGAATCACGTTTTCGGAACCATGTTTGTTCCCAGCTTTCCCAGCAGCTGTGTATGAATAAGAATTAGGCATTTTCATACAACTCTATTCATTCATCCCATTTCTTTGCTTTAGTTCATTTTATGGTCTTGTCAGTCTTCTTTTTTTTTTTTTTCTCCCCCGAGCCAGGGTTTCTCTGTGTAGCTTTGGAGCCTATCCTGGCACTCGCTCTGGAGACCAGGCTGGCTTGGAACTTACAGAGATCCGCCTGCCTCCGCCTCCCAAGTGCTGGGATTAAAGGCGTGTGCCACCAAGGCCTGGCTGGTCTTTTTTTTTTCTTTTTGGAACAGGGTCTTACTTTGTAGTTCTGGCCAGCCTTGACCCACCTGGCCCTGCCTCCGGATGCTGGAACTAAAAGAGTGCACCACCACACCAGCCCACAACCTTCTATATTATGTGTTAGCAAACTTCCCATAAAGGCCCAGGCAGTCTCTTAGTGCCTGTCACAGCTTCCCAGCTCTATCACCGTGGTATACAAGCAGCTTAGACATATGGGAGTTGACTAATGTGACTGTGTTCCAACACACTTTCAAAAGAGAATGGGAGTATTTGTCAACTACTGCTTAGTTTGAAAAAGAATTGGCTGGAAAGATGGCTCAGCACTCACTGCTGAGGGGAAAAAGTGTGGGGACCGAGTTCAGATCCTGAGCACCCATGGAGACACTGGGCATGGTGGCTTGCCTGTAATCTCAGCAGCACTCAGAAGGTGGAGACAGGGAGTCTCCAGAGCAAGCTGGCAGGAAGTCTAGGTGAATCAGTGGTGAGCTCTGGGTCCAGTGAGAGACCCTACCTCAGTACATAAGGTGGAGAGTGACTGAGGAATACTGCTGATGTCAACCTCTGACCTGTGCACATATGTGTGCTCACAGGATATGCAAACATGCATACATACATACATACATACATACATACATACATACATACACACCCATATGTATACCATGTGCACATATGCACAAAACCAAAAACAGTTTTAAAAATGAGATGATTTTTAAAAGAATTAAGAATAGTGTCAAGATTAAACTTCTTGTGGTATCATCATTTCCCTGTGAAAGAGAATTCCAGAAAGTAAACTAACAGCCAATACTCTTTTTTTTTTTTTCTTCATTGTAGTCTCTGGCAAACATAGATGATGTCGTGAACAAAATTAGACTGAAAATAAGGTAAGTAACACCATATGATTGTTAATTAGTGAAAAATATTGATTTACTCAGATCTGAATCAAATTTTTTGATGAAAGCACTGGAGTCTCAAATATAAAACTAAATCTCCTGGGTTTTCATGTAAACTCTATGGCAAGGAGCTGAATTCTGTGGCCAATGTTTAACTGCTCATGCCAAGTGAAGAGAGCTAGAACAGACTGTTAAAAAAATGGTTATCAGACAGGCTGTGGTGGTGTACACCTTCAATCCCAGCACTCAGGAGTAGACTCAAGAGGATCTCTGAGTTCCGAGGCAGCCTGTTTTATATAGTGAGGCCCCAGACAGCCAGGGCCTACAGTGAGACCCTGTCTGAAAACCCAGCATACATGAAACTGTGGATTCAATCCTAAGCATGGCTTAAACCCATAAACTAGGTGTGGGTGCACACACCTGTAATCTTAGGGTGTGGGAGCTAGAGGCAAGATGATCAGAAATTCAAGATCATCCTTGGCTACATGGTGAGTTTGAGACCTACTTGGGATGATATGAGGCCCTATCAAAAAATAAAGAAAAGGAGGAGGAGAAGAAAAAGTCACTTTCAAAGGAGGCAAAAACTATTCTACAATATTTAATGGTTTTGTTCTTTAGTAGCCTTACCTTTTGTAGTGCTAAGACTCAGCAATGGAGATGGGGTTATACCTGTTGGTTACCTGAAACACCGATATTGATCTGCCGGTTGACTTGGATTTGGTCCAGAATTAAAGACTAGTTAACCCAGGGCCTGGTTGTCCATGTTATCATCTGGTACTTCCTGCCTAGTGACCTTGTTCTGGCTTATCTAGGTCTAGTTTTATAAGTTTTGTATCTAATAGGCACTAAATAAGTGTATTTTCATTATATAAGTAGTTTGATTTCGTTGCTTCAAATGTATTTTGGAGATTTTTGTGTGCGTTTGTTTACTTTTTTTTTTTTTTTTTTTTTTTTTTTTTTTGAGACAGGGTCTTTCTATGTAGCTCCTGACTGTCCTGGAACTAGCTCTGTAGACCAGGCTGGCCTCAGAGATCTGCATGCTTCTGCCCCCCCCCCAACAAGTGCTGGGATTAAATGTGTATATCACTATGTCCAGCTTGTTATTGTTTGAGTTTTGATGAGAAAACTCATTTTGAAGATAGAAAACGTTCACTTGAGTCTAGAAGATGAGTTTGTTTTTTGTTTTTTTTTTTTTTTCCTGAACATTCTTTAGGTCTTTCAGTAAAATGCACTGCTCCATAAATGTATTATTCTGCTGGTGCCTTAGAGAAGCACAAAGGTGAGCTAGAGTGAAGCTCAGGGATTAAGATTACTTGTTGCTCTTGCAGAGGACCCAGGTTCAGTTCCCAGCACCCACATTGCTGCTCACAGCCATCTGTAACTCTAGTCCCAGGGGATCTGACACCCTCTTCTGACCTCTGCAGGCACTCGGCGTGTATGGTATACATACATACATACATGCAGTCAAAACATTCGCACACATAAAATAATATGATAAGTAAGTCTTTAAAAAGCCTCCTTGTTGTTTTGTTGGCTTCAGCTATAATGGCTTTAGAAGAGACCTCGAAGTTGCCAGAGTTTATATAGAAAGTAGAGACATCCTGGCGCTCCAGAGAGCCCTGTCAGCTAGCTATTTCCTGCATTCTTGCTACCATACCTTAAATAGATTCTTCAAGTGCAAAATGAAGCTGGCTGACAGAAATCCCTCTGGTAGAGGCGCCATGCAGTGGCTGTTGCTGAGCCTCTGGGAAAAGACATCCCGGAAGCCATAGATCTGCTTCTGACAGGCAGTACCATCAGGGCAAAAAGAGTAAGCACTGACTTCACAAATCACACTGGCTCCTTGGTCCTTGTAAGGTCACCGAAGTAGGGATTTTGCAGTTGCTAATTTGAATTTGCTGGCTTATTTCTGTAAAACATCTGTAACTTTGTCATTGTTGATTTACTCTGTGAAAAACATTTACAGTTTTATTGGTCTTTTCAGCCAGCTTCTGAATGTTAACTCTTACCAGTTTTTAAACAAAAGTAATCCTAAATCTGCACTGGTGGTGACTTCTTGTGTTCGTGTTGCTCCCCGGTCCAAGGCCTCATTCTTCTATCGCTTGTGCTCGTGTGGTTTTCTGCATTAAATAGGTGCAGTCCGAAGAAGTTGATGAGCAAATCACTGATTGTTTCTTTTGGTTTACCCAGAGTTGCATTTATTTGAATGACTTGTGTCCTATCTTTTTTTTTTTTTTTTTTGCTAGGAGACTGGATGACAATATCCGGACTGTCGTGAGAGGTCAAACAAACGTGGGGCAGGATGGAAGGCAAGTAAGTGACACATTCCCCCACATTAGTTACCATCCCCTCATTTATAAGATCAAAAACCAAGTGGCCAAAATGTTGATCAGTTTGTTTGCACTTTATTAGTCTGTTCCATAGACAGCAGGGAGCATGACTGGTCTGCCCTACTATGTCAGGGGTAGTATCTCTAGGCCAGCCATGAGCTCTCACTCAGTGTCTTCCAGACCCAGATCATGTATTAATACACAACTCACCCAGGGCCAGCATCTTGCAGGCTATGATGGACAAACTGAAGAGTCCCAGTTTTTCACCATCTCAGACATTTCCTATGTACCGTGCCTAACTCGAGTCCCTGCTTTTATCTGCCAGCTTGGTTTTTGGGGACTTAGTATTTGATTGCTGTAGATATTGATGTGAGGCAGCCATGGTTCCTCACACTGGTCCTGACAGCCAGCAGGACTGGGTTCATTCCAGTGTTGTGTGATTCCTTCCTCCTCACTGTGGAGGGCTATTGTGAGGGTCTGAAGCGGGAAGAAGCCTCTGGAGAGGAGATATTCTTCGGTGACTAAAGGGTAGATGTTATCTGTTAACCAGTTTCTTTTCTAATTGGATTCTGTTTAGGTATCATATTTCAGAGGTTGCTGTCATAACAAATGCTGAGATTGCCTTTCCCACTTTCCTCTCTACAGTGTCTGGCCCTCCCTTTCATTTAATTCACTTAGTCAGCCACATACTGTTGGGATGGTTTCACTCCTCTCATTTGTCCTCTTCAGCCTTTCGTAGTACTGGGGAGCAAACCCAGAGCCTTGTGCACACTAGACAAGTGTTCCACCACTGATCCACAGGCCCAGCCCTTGGTGGTTTTGAGACAGTGTTAACTGCTTAGCCTCAAACTCTAGGCTGGCCTCAAACTCTGTCCTCCCGATTTTTGCCTGCTGAGTGCTGGGGTTACAGCTGCAGCCCACCATGACCAGCTCTCTGACAGTTTATAGTACAGCTGACTTCTGAAAACAACTGTTTTGCTGCTCAGGGTTAGAGTGTAAGGGTCTAATTCTGGGTAGAAATTTCCTCATCTGCAACATCCCCATTTCTGCTGCTAATGAAATCATCTTGACTCTTAGATTTTTCAGTTGGTTTTGTTGTTGTGTTATTGTTGCTTTTTACTTGTTTTAGGTTTTTTCTATTTATTTTTATTTTATGTGTATGAATGTTTTGTCTGCATGTATGTGTGTCTGGTGCACATAATGAGGTCAGAAGAGGGTGTCAGACCCCTTGGAACTAGAGCTACAGATGGTTGTAAGTCACCATATGGGTGCTGGTAACTGAACTCAGCAAAAGGAAAAGTATCAGCTCAGGACTCCCACGACCAAGTTCTCAGCACAAAGATTTATGTGCTCCAGAGGGACAGAGGGCAGGGGATAAGAGACAAAGACAGGACATAGAGGAAGAGGGAGAAGTGGAAGAGAATAAGGGAGATGGGGCAGGAGTGTTTGTCCTGAAGACAAAGGCCTGCCTCTGGATAGAGAAGAGACAGATGTGACCCACAGGCAAATGGCGGTTTCTAAAGGTAAAATAGGAAACCCCATGTTAGGATGAGGTGTTGAATTTTGATGGGGCATGCTAGTTAGGGTAGTAGTCAAAAGGGGGCTTTTGATCACTGGACTTCAATATTTTGATAACAGGCCCTTGGTAGTCAGCCTCAGGAGGAGAAAGTAGCCAAAGAAAGGAATAGACTTTGGTGGAAGCTTTAGGAGTGTGATCTAATGGTTTTTAGCAAGGCAGAGGGAAAGGGAGAAGGGCAAGGCCTGCCAGAGCCATGTTTGCCAGGCCCAGGCTGGCTAGCGTCCCTTCACTCGGGTCTTCTGCAAGAGCAATAAGTGCGCCTAACTGCTGAGACATCTCCTCTCTAGACCTTATTTGCAGTGTGGGGTGTGTGTGTGTGTAAGAGAGAGAGAGAGAGGGAGAGAGAGAGAGAGAGAGAGAGAGAATTGCTTCCATCCTATATTTGTGACAGAGCAGCTCACTGAACCATGAGCTCACCAATTTGACTCAACTGGCCAGCAAGCCCCCAAGGATCCTTCTGTCTCTGCCTCCCCCATGTGCTACACCTGGCTTTTACATGGGTTCTAGGAACTGAACTCAGGTCCTCAGGCTTGAGAACCAAGTATCCTACCTGTTGAGTCGTTGCCCCAGCTCCATTTTTAGTTTTATCCATCTCTACTTTCCTATGTTTTATAGCTGCCATTCTTTTCACTCTTGACATACCCCTTCTGTTATCCATCAGTATGTAGTCTGTCTTCGTTCTTTTCCTTATCACTGCTGTTGGTTGCTGTGCTTGCTTCCTAAGACATCCTGTTTCCTGGACTCTGACATGATCTTATTGTTTACTACTTTGTTTTTGTCTATCAGGTCCCATGTAAACAGGACCTTAGAAATCATAAAGAGGAGGAAGGTCCCCTCATTGTGCTGATGAATCCATTTTTCATGTCTAGTCGTGTCATTTGTCTCTTCAGAACACTCTACCTTCAGACATTCCGAGTGCAGTCAGTCACATTCCCTTACTTGCTGCTTGGGGCTGCCGTCCATGTTTCTAACTCTGTCTCTTCCTTTGTTCTGACCACACTGAACACTTGCTGCTCTGCCCCAAGCTTTCTGACCCAAGCATGTGTAGTTCTTTGTACCTCTGTTAGCTATCACCACTGTGGCGAAATAACCCAACAAGAAGCAATATAAGGGAGGAAGGAGTTATTCTGGCTTACATCGGAGGGGACCCAGTCCATCCTGACTGCAAGGCATGGAGCAGGAGCATTAGTCATGTTGCATCTACAATCAGGCAGAGGGGTAAATGCTGTTATTCAGTTCCGTTTCTTCTTTTTATCTCGTCCAGGACCCCGCCCATAGAATTTTGGGTGGGTCTTCCTGATTTATTAACCTGAGCTGGGCCATTCCTCTCAATTTTGCCTCTCTCATCAGGGATTCCAGATCCATCAGGTCAATAATATAATCATCCTATACTGCTAAGGCCTCAGTGGGTTGGGTTTTTTGTTTTTGTTTTCTTGTTTTTTTGGGGGGGGTTGTTTTTTGCCTCCCTTTCTTCCAGTTTTTACATTTCAAAACTACCCATTTAAGGGCCATCCCAAATACTGATTCTTTTTCATATTTTATTTATCCCATCTGAATAACACCAAAGGACTTAGAATTTTAGGCCCAAAGAGACTTGACCTTCATCTGACCCTTTCTGCATCTACACAGGAGAGGCAGATGTGTGTCTTTCCCTCTTGTCACTCCCCAGCCCTCTGCTGTGCCTGGCTTTCTGAGTTTGTGCTCTCCCTTGGCTTACTAATGATTAGATAGATCTTGGCCCCTTGGCTAGTTTGTAGTCTCCTTGAAAGCAAGAACTATGTTTTTCATTGTTACACTTCAGTCCACATAGTCCTGTATGCAACTACAGTGAATATTTGGTGTGTCAGATTATTTATGGCAGACAGACAAATGCCCTTGCACTTTAAAAACTTTATTTTAGTCATGTTTGAGGTGATTTAACGTTTGATTGTGGCAGGGGTGGGGGTGGGATTCCAGTGCTAGGGATAGAACTGGGGTTTCCTGAATGCTAGGCAAGTGTGCATAGTTTTACCACCGAGTAGCATCTCTCGAGCCTGTGATTCATGTGTGAATAGTCCCAGGTTACTGCTATTTGGAATAGCACTACTGTATTTTGTGACTCTGCCTACATTTCGAATAGCTTACCAGAAACCTTAAAATACTTGGAAGAGTCTCAGGTATTTAAGATCCTAAGAATATGAAAAGAAAGGGATTTTTGTTGGGTCGTGCTATGTCCATACACATCCTGGCTGCTTATGTTTTAAGTTGTAGGCCATAAAAGAGCAGCTTGGGGGAGCAAGCCCCAGAAGGGGTAGGCCTCAGGAATGCCTCTCCCCACCTTCACTTGGAAATGGGTCACAGGTTGCCAGCAGGGCAGCTCGTATTTCAGAGAGCAAGACCATGTTTTCAAGAATGTTTAGATCACATTTCAGTCCGTGATGGAATTTTGTGTTGTCTCCTTAGAATCCAGACAGAGAGGAAGCCCAGAAGAAATAATCACTTTTCCTGTCATCCCCTCCATCTGTCTCTTCCAACAGATTGAAATGCCAGCTCAAGCGCGCTTGGTTCTGTCCTTGTCAGCTCCTAGGGATGATAGCATGACTCTGGCCAGTGGTTTGCTGAAAGGGAGTCTCCAGCTGACCAGCACAGACTAGGGGATTATGGGTATGCCAGAATATTGGGTTTTATAGGTCAGCAGGCCCCATGTTCCCTCCTGCCATGGAACATGAGTAGTTTGCTTTCAGAACTTGTTTCCTCAGGGGCTGAGAACACCCAGGAGAGCAGCAGTGGGAACAGAGGGAAGCTCCCTTCCTAGATGGACTCTCTCCATCCCTCTGAGCAGCTTGTCCACTTGTGTACAGCAAACACTTGGCCTTATTGCACATTGTGGAGTCTTCTTTGAGCTGGCTTGCTTTTTGAGACAGGATCTCATGCAGTGCATTCTGTCCTTATAGCCTTCCTACCTCCACCTTCCAAGTGCTAGGGTTCCAGGTGGATGCCGCCAGACCTGACTTTCATGGTCTCTTGGAAGACATTTCAAATGATTTATTGTTATGGAGGAGAGTAGTAAGCATCCATGCCAGTGTGCATGTCAAGGCCAGAAGACAAGTTTGCAGAGTCAGTTCTCTCTCCACTTTTCTTTGGGTTCCAGTACTGAACTCAGCTTATTAGTTTTTCAGGCTACTGAACCATCTCTTGAGCCTTTTAAAAGACATTTTTAGCAGGAGAGTTCTTTTGTGTTGGTGTGTGTGTTGTGCCTGTGTGTGGCATGTGTGCACCAGTGTATGGAGGTCTTGCTTTTTGAAGCAAGGTGTCTCACTGAACCTGGAGCTCACTGATTGAGCTAGGCTGGCTAAACAGCAAGCCCTAGATAGCCAGCCTCCCCAGTACTGAGGTTACAGATACATTTTTGGGGAGTGCTAGAG